GAGCATGATGTTGACCTCGGCCACAATCTCGCCCCATTCCAGGTTGTTGGGCCGCCCGTCCTTGTCCTCCATCAGCGCCGCGAAGAAGTCGTCCAGCTTCTCGCCGCTCTCGTAGCGTTAGCAGCCGCTGCGTCGCCCGCCGCCAGACGATGTCCTCCCACTGGTTGGCGGACCGTTGCATGCGTCCGAAGAACGGGATGATATTGGCCAGCTTGTTGATCACCGGGTACCACTCGTAGTTCCACAGGAGGAGCGACTGCTTGCGCGCTGTCGGATACAGCGCCTCGCGGAGGTGCACCTCGTACGTGGTGCCGTCTTTTCGCTGCGCGAGGCAGATGTCATTCCCCTTGTCGAGAAAGCCCAGCCGCTCGGACAGCCCGATATCCGCGATGGCGTCCAGAGTGAAGAAGTTGGTCCAGGCGCGAAAGTCGAGCGTCAGATCCGCCGGGTCAGGCGTGCTCTGGCCAGCAGGCAAGGGCGCGGTGCAGACCTTGTCGAAGTGCGCGAACAGACGCTGCACCTTGTCGGTGACCTTGTACTCCCACGTCTCGAGGTTCTTGAGCGCGTAGGCGGACGAGAGCACCTTGCGTTTGCGCGCATGCTCGGGCTTGTCGACCACGTCGGCGAGATGGAAGTGCGTGCCGGATGTGACGATGTAGGAGCGGTCTTTGGAGCACTTGGTGTTGTGGCCGTAGATGTCCTTGATGGCGCGGGCGTCGCCGTAGGACAGGGTCTTGGGGCCGGTGCGAATGACGGGGTGTTTCTTGTGCAGTTCGGCCAGGTATTTGGATCTGAACCCTCCGAAGGCGAGGATCATGAAGGGGATGTTGGACATGCCCGAGAAGAGGGACATGTTGGGGTATTTCCGGAGGCCTGGACCGTTAGCCAGTGTCAGAATTGCACACACAGGACAGGTCTACACACCATGGCGGTCTCGGATGTACTCGACGAACGGGTACACGAAGAAGTAGAGAAAGAGAAAGACCAGCAGGAGTGTTGCATAGGGGGCTACAAGAAACATGGCGTAGAGAAGAGAAGAAGAAAAGTAGCAGAAAAGAGGAAGAAGAGAGCTGGAGTAAAGATTTATCCAGCAGATAACCACGCTCAAGGCTCAACGCAGCACAACCAAGGATAAGTATTATTGTGGTCAGGAAAGAAGAAGAATATCAGCTCGCACTCCCATCTATCACCCGTCCTAGGAACCATATTATATGTCTTGCACAAACAAACCCTGCGGGAGAGGAGACGACGACACCAGAACTACAGCTCGGCATGACAGGCAATATTTTCCCAACAGGAGACGACAGCCCAGTATTGTCCCCGCAGGACACTTCCACTCGAGGTGGAGCGTGTCAAAATCGACATGAAGCAGTAAGTATACAGATGACTGTCAACACAAAAAAGGAAAAAAGGAACGCATCGACAAAGGAAATTCTCTCCGCGTCAGGGACAGTGCGCCACGGAGAGAATTTCCTCTCTCGAAGGGACGCTAAAGTAGCCAATTACAATGCACGTAATTACTACCTACGTCAAAATCCGGGGTCCCCGGACCCACCGATCAATGGAACATTGCGGGGATGTATGGGGTACCCCGGAGTCTCTCCGACAGTTCTTCTCTACAGAGTATATATTATATCAAGTGTATGCCATTGATTTGGCAAAAATGAATAGAATATCCTCCGGCGTGTCTCGTCTGGATACTGGTTGATATTGTCTTTCATTCCGCTTGTCCTCTGCCATGGACCTCAAGCCCGATCTATCCAAGACATCCTCCTCTGCAGAGGACAAAGGCGAGGTCCTCCACAGCGAAGTCGTGGTCGTCCCGGACATCGACGACTCGATTGAGTCTACTGATCCGGGCAAGACGGTATGGCTGATTGCCTGTACTGTGTCGATGGGAGGATTCCTGTTTGGTATCAACCTCACCTACTCCGGAGTACAGTACATATGTGTACTGTACAGTACGGACAGCACTGACGAGATGACACGACTACAGGCTACGATACAGGCGTCATCTCAGCCGTCCTTGTCAATCTCGGCTCTGATCTCGGCCAGACCCTCTCGTCCAGCGACCAGGAATTGATCACCTCCATCACCTCCGGCGGGGCCCTTGTCGGCGCCCTCCTGGCCGGGCTGACTTCCGACAAATACGGCCGCAAGCCCGGCGTCTACCTCGGGTGTCTGCTCTTCGTCGTCGGCGCCGTCCTCCAGGCGGCTGCCTTCTCGCTGGCCCAGATGACGGTCGGCCGGTTCGTCGTCGGCCTGGGCGTCGGCAGTGCCGCTATGATCATCCCTTTGTACATCGGGGAGTTGGCGCCGGCGCGGTCGCGCGGCCGGCTGATCGTGTTCGACAACCTGTGCGTGGCGGGCGGCCAGCTCGTTTCATACGCCGTTGGCGCGGCGTTCACCGGCGTGTCGCACGGATGGCGATACATGGTCGGTCTGGGGGCTGTGCCAGCGCTGCTGCTCGCGGCCACGCTGCCCTGGTGTCCTGAGTCACCGCGGCAGTTGGTCTCGCACAACCAGCTGGCGGAGGCGCGTGAGGTTCTGGCACGCATCTTCCCGGAAGCCACGCCGGAGCAGGTGTCGGCCAAGATCCAGCTCATCCAGCGGGCCATCGAGGAGACGGCGCTGAGCGTTTCGGATCGGAGTCTGTGGTGGCAGTTCCGGCAGCTGGTCACTGTGCCGGCCAACCTGCGAGCGCTGACGACGGCGTGTGCTGTTATGGCGAGTAAGAACAAGCTTTATCCCTAGCAGCGCGGTGTCATGCTGATTATCAGTCTCCCAACTGGGCGGCTTCAACACGTTGATGTACTATTCCTCAACCCTGTTCGCCATGGTCGGGTTCAACAAGCCCGTCGCGGTGTCGATCGTAGTAGGAGGCACGAATTTCCTGTTCGGATTCATCAATTTCGCCGTCATCGATCGGTTCGGCCGGAGGGTGGTGTTGTTGATCACCGTTCTGGGGATGGTATCAATTTCTCCTAGCATGTACCTGGGTGTGTCTGCTAATTTTTTTTCAGTCCCTCTCTCTGGTCGTCGCGGCCGTGGCATTCCACTGGATCCCCATCAGCCCGGACCTGACTGTGCAGACGCGCGACATCAACTGGGCGGGCATCGTGCTCCTCGTCACCATCATCTTCTACGTCGCCTTCTTCGCCGCGGGCGTGGCGCCCATCGCGTGGGTGGGCACGGAATTCCTGCCCCAGGAGGTTCGCGCCCTGGGGACGATGCTGAACACGGTGACCTGCTGGGGGTGCAACATCATCATTGCGTCGACCTTCCTGTCGATGATGAAGGCGATGACGCCCAGTGGGGCGTTTGGCTTCTACGCCGGCATCTGCTTTGTCGGCTGGGCGTTTGTGGTGTTCTGCTATGCTGAGGTCCATAACATGCCTCTTGAGTCGGTGCGAGAGGTGTATACCCATGGCTTCGGGGTCAGGTATGCGAAGAAGCTGCAGAGGGAGATGCGTGAGGCCAGACGGGAAATGAAGCTTGCTAGCTGATGGTCAAAGCGAGGAATGAGTCTGACCATCACATCGAGGCTAGCAGCTTCCAGATGGGCCAGCTATCAAGCTTTTTGTCGTCTCGTATATCCTGGGAAATACCCATGTCTCACACGTATTCCTAGTTGAAGCATGCAGTCAACAGGTATATACACATCTATCTACATACATCCATGTACCTACTGTACTGTACTCTACATGCAGAGAACTTATTATGTAGACTAACCCCGTCTCCGACTTTCCAACTCATCAAGTTCGCGCCACTGCTTCTTCAGCGCCTCGACAATCCAGGAAGTTCGCCAGCCCATGACCTCTTCCACGCGGGCGAGGAAAGAAGCCGCTCCTCGCCGTTGAGCCGGGTTGACAAGACAGTATCCGTCTGAGAAACGTATCAGTAGGAGCCAGCAAAGTAAGGATATTGTATCCCTTCAGAAGACGGCACACCTACAGCAGCAGAGAAGGTGGCTTGCGGTGAAGTTTGCGTTTTCCGTCGTGTCGTTGGAGATGGCTAGGCCGATGATTTTGGCTAGATGGGTGGAGGCAGTGATCTGTAGAAACATTCATAAGTATGACTGGTGTTGAAAGGAAGAAGGAAACAGAAAAAGAGCAAAGGTTCTTGTGCCCACCTCTGCATGACATCTTATTTTTGCCGCTTCAAATGCCGACGTCAAATGCGGAAGCGGCTTGTGAATCTGCAAGAGGATAACGGCCGCATGATAGTACTGCATGCCAATCGCTTGAAACAAGTTAGCATACTCATATACTCGAAAATCATTTCGAATGTGTGTTACCTGCAGCAGGAGAGACCATCCACAGCTCTGGAAACGGCCGATTTTCTTCCACATCAACATCTCGATACCTCAACGGGGTGAAAGAAAAAGGCCTTTCATCGTTCCACCGCTCAACACTCTCTTCCAGCGAGAGCCAGTCCTGCAGATCCGTCGAGGCCGTTTCTCGCGAATGCGATATCAGCCGTAAGATCTTGGCGACCAGAAAAATCATCACATTGGCGTAGGAGGCATCGTCGCCATTCGGACATTCGAATACCAGCGAGCTCTCGTAGTTTTCCAAACACAGCTCCCACGGCTCCTTCTGCACCAGACTGACGTAGATGGCCTGGCGGAGAAACAGCCAGCTGGCCGCTTCGGCCAGGCCGCCCGAGGACGAGAACCTGGAGACGGTGTTGAGCAGCCTGCTGGATCCGAGCAGATGGCACTTTTTGTCCCTCTGGTTGTCGAGCTCCTCGTACAGCCGCAGGATGACCACGGTCACGAGGAGATTGTCGTCGTACGTGTCCTCGGGACGAGACAGGGCGGGGATGAGATATTCCAGACAGCGACCGTGGTACGTGCTCGCCTCGACTTCGTCTATGCCGCGCATGATCGACTGGTGGCGCGACGCAACGGTCAGCAGCGCGTACATGACCATGGGATTGTGCAGGGCGCGCCGAGGCACCTCGTTCGCAAACTGGCATGTTGGGTCGCACACATCTAGCTGAGGACAGTTAGCGAATACAATCAGACAGGAAACAGAACCTACCCAAGGGGCTAGTTTGATGATATACGAACGAAGCAGGAATGCCTCGCGGGGAGAGAGATGGCTGTGAGGGGGGTCTCGGGGGATGCTGCCGGGAAACTCGTCTGAGACAGGCGACTGTTGATTGGCAAACGACGGACTGCACTCGTCTGATGCTGAAGGATGGTTCAAGGGAAGATTTTCGTGCTGAATGGCAGGGTTCTCGCCAGATTCATCCACCAGCGCTGACTGTGCTTCATCAGACTCCTGCGCGTCCCATCTCTCAATAACAAAGCTAACTGGATTGGACACCCTCATCCAGGCCTGTCTCCTATCCCAAGCAAACACGAATTTAGACCGGCCAGAGCCGTCCTTCCGGTAGATGTAGCGGACATCCTTGAAGCGAAATCGCGGCTCCAGCTCACAGCGACGACCGAGCTCGACGCATTTGTTGCAGGAAGGGGCTCCGTCTGGGAGCACGCATTTGACGTGACGACGGCGGCAGTTCCTACATCCTTTTCTTAGCATGTCGTAAACAGTCGTGAGGTAGTAGATGGGGGAGGACAAGAGTGTCGTCTAGTTCTAGTTCGGCGTGAGATTTCCCCGCATTTTGCAGTGTGGGGATCGGATGGAGTTAACCTAATAGGATAGAACTAGCATGTACTTAGATAAGTAAATAGCTAGTATTAAATACAGAGATAAGAGCAATTTCGTTGATATAAGCATCTTCGTCACTATCCACACTATAATTGATAGATATCTGACTGAAGGACCGTCGAGGACATCTCTAGAATAACTAGAGTTGGACATCTACGACCTAGTTGACCGCCATGATCAAGCAAATCGTCTGCTCTGGCACGCCTTACAATGTACGTACGTACAGTTCATAGGCATTCCAATACTAACTGCCCGCAGATCGGCTATACCCATGGCCAGCAAGCCCAGGCCGAAATCGCCCGCGCAATCACTTTCATGCCGGCCTGTTCATGAAGAACAGCAAGCAGACCTGGCCGCAGGTCCAGGACACGGCACGCCAGTTCGACAGGCTGATCAGGGAGAAATGGCCTCGGTATTATGAGGAGCTGCGGGGTGTGTCTATACATACACACAGATCATATCTGTCTGTTTGTCTGATGCTGATCTGTTGCTGTTGCAGGCATCGCAGACGGTGCCCAGCGCGATATCCTCGACATTATCGCGCTGAATGTCCGTACGGAGATCGCCTTTGGCCAGTTCAGCGACGGCTGCACCAGCCTGTACTGGCGGGATGAGCGGTATGCGTTTCTGGGTCAGAACTGGGATGTGAGTGACCACATCTATTCTCTTCTTTTTAATCATCTTTTCTCCTAACGTGTGACCAGTGGATGCAAGAGCAAAAACCAAACCTCATCCAGCTCACCATCATCCAGGACAGCCTGCCCACGATCAAGATGGTGACCGAGGCCGGGATCGTTGGCAAAATCGGCCTCAACGACCGCGGCGTGGGCGTCTGCTTCAACGCCATTCGCGTGCCAGGCGTCGACGCATCCCGGCTGCCGGTGCACTTGGGGCTGCGACTCGTCCTGGAGAGCACGTCGACGACAGAGGCCGTCGAGAGGCTCGAGGAGATCGGCCTGGCCAGCGCGGGGCACATGCTGATCGGCGATGCTGCCACAGCGACGGGGCTGGAGTTTACGTCGACGACGTTCGCGCGGCTGGCCCTTGATGCGAACGGACGCATCGTCCACACGAACCATCTCCTGCGGCCGCATCCGGGCGTGGTCGAGTCGCAATGGCTGGCAGATTCCCCGGCCCGGATCGACGTGATGGAAAAGAATGCTGCCGCGGCAGGACAGCTCTCGTGGCAGACGTTCAGCCGCCTGTTCGAGGACGAGACCAACTACCCGGTGTCGATCTGCCGGGCGCAGGAGGGAGCGAGCACGGCGGCGACGCTGTTCAACATCGTCATGGAGCTGGGTGAGAAGAGGGCGGTGGTGAGGATGGGAAGGCCGGCGGAGATGGAGGAGAGGGTCGTGCTGGAGTTCAGTTAAATGAACCAATGAATTATTTTGTTTTTTCTACGCAGCAGCACTGTAATGTGTTTCTTTACTTTCTCGTAGCTTGCCTTAATCGCCATGGAATACTTTATAGACATAAGTATGCTGTCACCTGACAGGCTCGAGCGAGTGCATATTCTGGAAATAATACTAGAAATAACACTTCTCTTATTATACTGCATTCCTTATCCTGCATTACTTTTCCCTTCTTCTTGAATAAAACTGACCATAATATACAACTTACTCCTCGCCCATATTTAAAAAAGCTCTTTATGTGCCTAAGCAAGTCCATCTATAACTAATCTTGTGCT